TAGAGATGAGGTCTCGCTGCCCAGGCGGGTCTCGAACCCGCGGGCTCAGGCAATCCACTCACCTCAGCCTCCCAAAGGTACGGTATTACAGGCTGACCCACCGTGCCCGGCTAGTACATTATTTTTAACCCCAATATTGCATTGAAAAACTAACTTGTAAAAATGATTTGTTATTTCACTTATTAACAGATTATTGTTCTTTGGTTTCCTGAGAATCAGTAAAATTACCTTTTACTAAAGTGAAATAGATAGCTTCCCCCCACTGGAGATGGGAACACTGTGATTAAAGGGAGTCTTTGATTAATAGTGGTGGTTCGTTGAATTTTTGAAGTTTATTTTGTCAGCCATTATTGGTGTAAAAGTTTTCTAAAATTAATTGTAAGCTGTAGTAATGAAGTAAATCAAATATATAAATGATGTCACAGTGCTTCATTCTGTTCAGTTATGTACATATAGAAGGCAATAAATATTGAGCTGAATTTAGTAGAACTTCAGAAGATGCCCTATGAAATGTTTCTTGAGTAAATCCCTCAGATTACTCATGCATTCTTAGCAATTGCCATTTTTCAAGAAAAAATTGCATAAAAATAGAATGTAGGCTAATTAAAAGGTACAGTAAGTTGGGTTGATTGTTCATTAGGGCTTGACCATATTCATCTGTGTTCTCTGGACAGTTGAGAGAAAAATGCATAAGCATTTAGAAGGAACCAATGTAAAGCCATACTCTAAGTGTCTGACATTGCTACAGTTATTTCTGAGGTTATCAAGCTGTGATTACAGGAGCACCTTGCTATAGTCCTGTTTCTGAGTTGTTTGTGTGTGGGCTTTCTACATTTCTAATTGCCAAACTTATTTGGATCTGGTCCAAGATGTACTCAGAGGCATTCAAAATTAAATGTATGGGTAAATCCTCCTTCAGCAATATTGCTCCATCCCCAGGCAATTTCCAGCATGCATCAACAACTCTCCAGTGGAGCAAGATGACTTCCAGCTCCTGAGGCCCCAGGGAAATTCCTCCCCTCTTTATCTCACAGTTTGTTGCCACTGTAGGAGAAATCTCTCTCCTCTGCCTGACTCTGCAGCTGCTTTACCCAAAAGCGCCAGAAGAACACTGAGTTCAGAGCCTAGCCTTAGGGATATATATATATCTGTTTCAGACTGGTCTGTGTTTTTGCATATTTTATGACCTTTTAAAAGGTGACTCATGCCACAATGGTACTTTCTGTTTTTGTTTCATTTTGTTGTGTTGTGTTTTTTCATTACTCTGCCAAGTACAGTATTTCTGGGGTAGAAAATTTGCTTTCTTGGATTACTTCAGAATACCAATTACAACACTGATTCTCCAAAAAAATTGAGTTTAAAATTCCAACTTACAAGCTTTTGGATAGTCATCACCCATTTGTGGGAATACGTGTGTGTTTTAGATATTTTCTTAGCCACTTAAATGAATTTTAACCACTTAAATGACTTTTTAAAATACCATATTTTTCCTAAGTCATTGATTTCATTGTATTATTGTTTTGTTTCGTTTTGAGTCAGAGTCTCACTCTGTCGCCCAGGCTGGAGTGCAGTAGCACACTCACAACCACCGCAGCCTCAACCTGCTGGGCTCAACTGATCCTTCCACCCCAGCCTTCCACGTATCTGGAATTACAGGCACAGGCCACCAGATCCAGCTGATTTTTTAATTTATCGTAGAGACAAGAACTTGGCGTGTTGCCCAGGCTGGTCTCAAACCTGTGAATTCTGGGATTATAGGCATGATCCACCACGCCCAGCTAATCTCATTGCATTGTAATAATACCCTTTTGGGCACATCACTGATTAATAACCAAATGCAAATAGTGGAAGATTTACATAAATAAACCATGTGCTTTCAAACATCTGTAAAAAGAGCAAATAAAACTAAACTAATGGCTTAAAATAAATGTAGTAGTGTCACCACAAGATGGTGCATGTGACAAGAAGAAGAAAACAGGACTTAATATGGGTTCAAACCAAAATACATTCATTTGTTTAATCTATAATTGCACTCTCTCTATATTTTTTCTCACATTTAACTCCGTTCTGCAAAGGATAACAACATTAAATTTTAATACAGGATACTAAATAGCTCTTGCTTTTGTTATTTCCTGGTTGTATACCTGTCCTTGACTACTGGAAGTGAGCCTTCTTAGATTTTCTTGCCTTCATCCAGGCTTATTTCATAGGTTCGGGACCATCCTGTTTCATAACACTTGTTCCTGTTTTTCTACTTGAAACTTCATTGACATTATAGCCAGATGTTTTTTCCTTAATACTTATTCTTGGTGTTGCTGACCACTAATCAGGCCAGAGAAGAACTGATAATGACCACCAGAGAGTGCATTCAAGAAGGATCAGAAGTCTTCTTTACTCTTTTACCTCAAGAAGCCATCATTTATTGAGTTTCTATTTGAAAAACAATCTCTGCATATACCAGAAACCTTACCAGTAGTTACCGCTGGGGAATAGAATAGGCTGAAAGGATGGTAACTTTTGCTGTTACCTTGTTCTCTTTTGTACTACTTAAAACTTTTATTATTGTTAAGTATTAATTTAATAAAAAATTTAAAAGTTGATAAAAGCCATAAAATTAAGCAACGCCTTATGTCCTCCTCAAATAAATTAGTATGTACAATATGGTCAAAGGAATTATGAGTACTATGTACATAGTTAAAGCCAGAAGGAAAACCTCAAAACTTAATGGTCATTTCTTAATGGAAATATGAGTGGATTTCCTTTTTCTTTGTGCTTTTCTATTTTTAAAATTACCTTTGTGATTTAAAAAAAAAAGTTTTATAAAATAAACATCTAGCTTCCTTCCCAGGTCTAGTGAAGAACACATTTGTCACTTTATCCTGACTTCATTACCTCCTCTCAGCTTCTCCCTTTCATTTCAAGTATCTTGTAAAATGCGTTGTTTCGGATGGCCTTTGTTTTTAAAAAAGGAGATTCTACTTGAATCTTTTTATTACTGACTTTTCAGTTATAAGTGATAATAATGCTGATATTTTAGCTAGTCAACTGTTAATAACATTTGCTAATTATTTCTGTGCCTATTAAATAATTGTAAAATATTTTTCACATAAAAAAGATAATCTCAAAGATTCATAGTAACCTACTAAAAAGGGCTGTACTTTTTCTCTTTTGGGTTAGAGTCTCATTCTCTTACCTGGGCTGGAATGCAGTGGCATGAACACCGCAGCCTCGGGTTCAAGCGGTCCTTCTGCCTCAGTCTCCTAAGGAGCTGAGACTATAAGCACATGCCACCCAGCTAATTTTTTTATTTTTATTTTTGTAGAGACAGGGTCTCGCTATGTTGCCCAGGCTGGTTTGGAACTCCTGGGCTCAAGCAAACCTCCTGCATCAGCTTGCTAAAGTGCTGGGGTTACAGGTTGAGCCACTGTACCCAGCCATATTAATTCAGTCTTGGTTATCAAACTGTTCCAAGACTTTCACACTTTAAGTAAGAATGAACTTTGAGAGATTGCTTGTTCTGAAGATTTTTTTTTTTTTTTTTGAAAGGGAGTTTCAAAGTCTCACTATGTTGCCCAGGCTGGAATGCAGGAGCTATCCAGCAGGTGTGATCATATCACACTACAGCCTTGAAATCCTAGGTTCAAGTGATTCAACTCAGCCTCCAAGTAGCTTGTACTACAGGTGCATGCCACATATGGCCCAGCCGTATTTCACTTTCCAGTCATCAAAATAAAGATCATGTGTGTTATGTGTGTGTGAGTCAAGGGTAGATTGTGAAGACATTGCAGTATTCTCCTCATCTCCCAATTTAATTGGGAAAGTAGGGTTTAGAGAACACTGCTCGGTGGTAAGTGCTCTGAGAGTGGTACCAAGTGTTATAAAAGTTCAGAGAGAAATCTTATAAGTAGGATAAACTGAGAAGGCTTCATAGAGTAGAGAGGATTGAGCCAGGCCTGGATGCATAGGCAGGACTTTAAAAGGAAGACACAGTAAGAGGATACCATGCCTGGGAGAGAAAATTCATGCTTGCTGGTCTGAAACCCATATTCTTCTTGTTTCAGGTTCAGGTTTTGAGACTGCTTTTGAATTTGTCTGAAAATCCAGCCATGACAGAAGGACTACTCAGTGCCCAAGTAAATAGCTTATATATTTATTTTATGAATACACACATATGTAAATTTGAACAGATAAAAAAGATCTAGAAAGATTTATTCTAAAATGTTAACGGATTATTTCTAAGAACCAGTATTAAAGGTTTTTGTTGTTGTTCTTTTTGCATATATGAATTTCCTAAATTTTTTGCAATGAGCATATTTTACTTTTGAAAAAATGTTTTTAAAAATTCTCCCTTGTAACAATAATTTTTCTCTGTTCCCAATTTTGGGTATACTTTTGCCATCCCATCTTTTATACTTGACCTGTTTTTGTTCACATGTAACTTAGTATCATTCAAACAGTGGTTCTCAGTCCCCAGTATGTACTAGGTACAGGGCTGAGTGCTAGGACATACCGGTGAACATAGCATGACATGGTGAGTGTCCTTGTGGGGCTTACACTCTAGTGGAGAGACAGAAAATATGTAACAAACAAACAAGGTAACTGAAAGCTGCAATAAGCATTGAAGGAAGCCAAAGTAGTGCAAGAAGGAATGGGGCTTAACTCCTGTAGAAAAGGAACCAAATTCATCTGCTCATCCCCATTTCCCAGCTCTGTACCCTGTGCTGTGTGTGGGCAGTAAATGTCTGACTGGTGAAGTAATGAGTTCCCATGAAAACTGTGTGATGGATCTTAAAAAGGAAATGGTTGTTTTAGAATTCCAAGGAAATCATGTTTGTCAACTAAAACACAAAACTTTTTTTCCATTAAGGATACAACACAGAAGTGCATGAGTTTTTACACATTAAAATTATTCAATTTTAGGGTTAATTTTCTATGACAGGGTTTTTAAAATGTAAGATAATAGTTTTAAAACGTGAAAATACACATGAAAAATGTTTTCATATATTATCAATATAAAATAATACTCGTTTACTTTTTCAGGTGGATTCATCATTCATTTCCCTTTATGATGGCCATGTAGCAAAGGAGATTCTTCTTCGAGTACTTACACTGTTTCAGAATATAAATAACTGCCTCAAAATGGAAGGCCGTTTAGCTATTCAGCCTACTTTCACTAAAGGGTCATTGTTTTTCCTGCTGTATGGAGAAGAATGTGCTCAGAAAATAAGGGCTTTAGTTCATCACCATGATGCAGAGATAAAGGAAAAGGTTGTAACAATAATACCAAAAATCTGATTGGTTGGTCATATTTTTCCAAAGAATAATGAAGTCTGGAAGTAACATGCATACACTTCTTATTTTCCAGTCTTCATAAGGGGATTCTCCTAGCTGCTGGATTTAAACAGTACATATCACATTTCATCATTAACACAGCTATAATTTGCCGTCATCTTCAGGTTATTTTGGACCCTTTTATTGATGCCAAACAAATATAAGAGCTTGTACTGAAACTATTTTTTATTTGACTGTTTACTGAGATGCTTATTTCCTCTACATCAAGTGACAGTGACCTTTTTAACATGTAAGTTATCCTTCTACTGTTTGAAGCGATTTGCAGTTAATCTTCTGAGACAGCAACGGTATGTGACTTAAATTGCTGTTTCAGAATGGCCTTTTAGTAGCAATAAGATCCTGCTCTAGAGTCCACCGGCTAACCCAGCCATACTACTTTCAGAAGTCTGTTCTAATCATTAGAATCTGTTCTGGTTAATGAAAAATGAAAACTTTTAGGAGATAATGTTTCCTAGGACTCACCTACTCCCACTCAATGTTCTAGTATGTAAAGATGTTACATACTAAATACTGGGATTCATCACAATGTCCGTCGTTAGGCAGTTGGTCAAGTCAATTATCCAACCGTTTTTTGGGTTTTTTTGAGTCAGAGAGCAGTCTCTCTGGCACCCAGGCTGGAGTACAGTGGCATGATCACTGCTCACCACAGCCTTGACCTTCTGGGCTTCAGCGATCCTTCCACCTCAGCCTCCTGAGTAGCTGGGACTACAGGCATGCGCCATCACACCCGGCTAATTTTCTTATTTTAAGTGGGGACAGTCTCGCTTAGTGCCTAGGCTGGTCTCGAACTCCCAGATTCAAGCAATCCTCCTACCCTGGCCTGCCAAAGTGCTGAGATTACAGGCTTGAGCCACCATGCCTGGCCCAATTATCCAGTCTTTAAAAAGAATGAAGTAGGTCTGACTGTGCTGATGTGTAAAAACATCTATGAAATCTGGTTGTTTTTTTAAAACATGTATTATAGAAGAATACAATGTGACTCCATGTGTTTTCCTAAATGAAAACTGTATGTGCTTATGAATTGACATGACACTTCTAGAATGATGCCCAAACTCCTGGGAGTGGGATTGGGGACTGGGAATGAATTGTATGTATACACTTCTGCTGTTTGAATTTTTTACTGTGAGGCTAAATTGTGTAATTTTTTAAATAAAGAAGAAATCAGTCACTCACGAGGTTACACACATTTTCTCCCCTTAATCAACAGTGCTTTATTCATTCATTTTTATCCATATCTTACTTGGCTAAAATTACAGCATGTGAAAATCTATTATATTTTAATAGTATTTTTATTCCATAAGCTACTATAACAATTTGTTGACATATCTGGATTCAGCCAGTTTTTATAATATTTAAGTTCATAACCCCTGCCATGCTTAGAATTTAAGTAAATTAGGATGCAAGCAGAAACTTCACTACTTGTGTATTTAAGGCAATACTTTAAGAGTACTTTAAAGTTCATTTGTAAATACAAGCATACAAGACTGTTTCCATAGGAAGTCACAAATTCTCAAACAGAAACACATGTATTCTCAAGGTTATCCTGATACAGAAATCAGATTTTGAATATTTTTACATTATTAAAAGGATTGAGTATAAGGTGAAAACGGAAATTCTCAATGGGCTAGAGTAGGAATTAGTGACATGAACACAAGTATCAATTCCCCAAAAGGCACATTTCTTTATAACAATTTTTAAAAGTCTGCCTCCCTGTTTAATGACAGTATGCACACATTAAAACCCAGGATTTGTTTGCAACGTGCTTTAGCAGCAGTGGAATCTAACACTTTGTCTTTTCTTCCTCTGTTTGAATAAATAATCACACTCTTATAGATCAGAACATTGAGTCTGAAATGTCAAAACACCAGAGAAAGGAGGGAGTAATTTTTAACTACCAAGAAAAAAGTGCACACATCTTTACCTACTTAGGTCATGGTATGTCTTGGCTTTGATTAGGTGGGATTTCTCCTAATTGATGATCCATCCTTTTGGGTAATGAGGCATAGCAAAGTATTCCTCAGTTATCACAGAAAACGTCAATAAAATCTTACATATTGGTGTGGATACTCACTAATCAAGGAAGAAAATGAAATAGACTTACAAGATCGATTAAAAGATATAATGCATATTAGATTGAATTGAGGGAAGAGAATGGACCTGTTTTTCAAAATGCGTTTTCACTTTGCACATAAACCCTTCAAAATGTAGATAACACATGAAAAATAAAGTGAAAACCACTCTACAAGGAGAGATGAAGGTTGACTGTACTTAATAAAGGGTCAATGTAGAAAGAATGTGAATGTAATAAAGTTTGTGAGGAGGCCTAGAAAAATGAGGCAGACTAAATGAGTAGAACTGGAACACAATTTAAAATGCTTAAAGGTCCTCAGTTAAATGGTACATGTGAATACAAAAATATTAAGGCCATTCATGGAAAAGAAATACTTAAGCAAGGTACACTTGGCTTGCTTCACAAAGTAGAGGTAAGAGATGAATTTTCAATTTGGCATGCAGCAGCAGAGAAGATGGCTATAAGAACATTGGCTGGTACTGGGGCAACACACCTCAAAGCTAACCCATCATATACCTTATATCTTGATTAACATCTGCTTTGAGTGAAAAAATTTATGATATTTCACCTTGTCATGAAGGCTTATTTTAAAGGAGAATTTTTTGTGCTTTAGTGCCCCAAAATTGTATGCATTCATATACATTATATATACACAGATTACATACACATTTCCCCTTGATTGATCTGCATCTTTGTAGATAAAACTATTAAATTTTGATAAAGATCATTTACATTTATGTTGGCTATTACTCTCCAAATTTACAAAATGAGTTTAAGTTGTTAGTCTCCAGTCTTTAGTGTCCTGATATAGAATGCTTAAATCTGCAAAAGGAACATTATCAAAAGCATTAGCCTAATTTTAGCTTTCATATGCACTTATCTATATTAGGCAGTGGTATCTTAAATCATTTTCTCCAATAAAATATTTTCAAAAAAGATTTCCAAAAAACTCACTTTATTATTTATTCTACATATTTTTCGGAGGTAGGTCAAAATTATCCTCTTATTGAATTTGAGGAAACAGGCACAGTGAGCGTAAGTGACTTGTTTCAGTTACACAGAAAATCCATAATGAAAGCAGGTTTAAATTCAGATTAGTGGCTAACTTAGGGCAAACATAAATATGTACAAATAATTCATAGAGCACTGCCTGGGTAGCATTTGGTGTAGAAAATCTATTTTGATAATTCTGTATGAATGGAGTACTGAGCCTATGGATCAAACATAGAATGGGTCTCCAAAAGTATCTAATCCAGCTTCCTCCCTTAGGAAGGTTCAGTGTAAGCAAGTGAACACAGAGCTCTTATTAGGACTAAATCTCAGGTCAGGTGACCAAGAATCAGCATCTTTCTTTTTTTTAACCACTGGTAGTCACACAGCTTAAAAGGTGGAATCATGCTTAGTGGCAATTTAATATAAAAATATAAGACATCTGAATCATGTAAAACAAAATATTTATAAATCTTATCGATAGAGTTAGGAGACCAAAAAGAAAATGAGTGTAGAAAAATGTGAAGCAGATGAAATGAAATTATAAAATTTAACTCAAAATGTATGGTCTATTAACGTTTAATATCTATCTTTAGCTCTATAAAATATTTCACTGTAGCTACATTTGTGCTTAGCAGGTAATTTTAGGTTTAAAAACAAAACTGCACAAATCATGCTCTCACAGCCGTGCTCTTTCCCTCCCTCTGCCCAACTCAGAAGGTTTTTGATTTGGGGACTGTACATGTGCAACAGAACTATTCCCCCTTTAAGTCTATGGTGGCCATGGCTGCATTAATGCCAAAGACCTGTGTACTTAAAAATGGCAAATTGTATGTTACGTGCATTTTGCCACAATAAAAAAAAGTCTTAAAATATGGTAACTTAGCCCAAGCCCCTGCTTTTATGCTTACCAAAAATAAATTACACTGGTAACGTCTGACATATAAGCTAATCTTGACAGAGCAAGAACTGCCATGTTTATGAGGATGTGGGCGTCAATTTCATCAGGTACTATAATGTGACTATAAGAAAAAAAAGTGTACATGTATGGCTCTGAAAAAAATCAAGGTAGATACACAAACGTGACTCACCTTGCAGAAGATCTGGAACAGAAAAAAACCAAATGAGTTTTTAATACCAGTTTTTTTCAGGCCAGGCTCGGTGGCTCAGCCTGTAATCCCACGCTTTGGGAGGCCGAGGTGAGTGGATTGCCTGAGCTCATGGGTTCGAGACCCACCTGGGCAACTTGGTGAGACCTCATCTTTACAATAAATCAAAAAATTCGCCGGTTGTGGTAGTGTGCGCCTGTAGTTCCAGCTACTCGGAAAGCTGAGGCGGAAGGATCGCCAGAGCCCAGCAGCTTGAGGCTGTAGTGGCCAGGAGCGGCCACTGCACTCCAGTCTGGGTGACAGAGTGAGACTCCAACTCAAAAAAAAAAAAAAAAATCAGTTTTTCACACCTCAGAAAAATTACTACCACAAAATTATGATTCGGTTAAAAAAAATTTACATTGCAATGCTTACACCATGATGAAAGATTTAAAGTCCACATTAGCTAATTCATTATTTAAATGACCCGCCCCCAAACCCTTCTTTCATGTTTATATGAGCAGACAATTGTCAGTAAGCAAGATATTACACAAAACAAAACACAAAACTTGTAGAAGTTGTTTCCAAATGTAAAAAGATCATAATATTCATGAATTTCTTAATCTCTCATTTATCTTCAAATTTTTTATCAGACGATGCCTTCCTTCTTCAATAAAAGTGCCTGTGCTCATATTTACTCAAAGTTTTCATCACTAGTATTTAGATATCTTGATTCTCCATGCTTCAAGACAAAAAAATCTTCAGTCTTAAGTCCATATCTTTCTAGTGCTTCACTTAGTTTCAATGGTGGCTCTAAATAATGCTGGCAAAAGACAGAAGAAAAACGCAAAAGATTAACCATACGTGTATTTGGGAGAGACACTTATAAGAGTTCAAACTAAAGAGTTCAAACAGATGCCTATTTGAAATAATGCGCTTTTTTCATCCTTTCCTTTCCCTTTCCTTCCTTCCCTTCCCTCCCTTTTCCCTTTTTCTCTTTCCCCTTTCCTTTCTTTTCCTTCCTCCTTCTCCTTCCCTTTCCTTTTTGAGACAGGGTCTTACTCTGTCACCAGGCTGGAGTACAGTGGCAGGATCATGGCTCACACAGTCTCAATCTGGGCTCAGGCTATCCTTCCATGTCAACCTCCCGAGTAACTGACACTACAGACACACGCCACCACACCTGGCTAACTTTCTGATTCTATGTAGAGATGAGGTCTTGCTATGCTGCCCAGGCTGGTCTCAAACTCCTGGGCTCCAGCAGCCCTCTCTCCTGAGCCTCCCAAAGAGCTGGAATTGCAGGTGTGAGCTGCCACTCCTGGCCCCCTTTTTTTAATTGAAGCATTAGCACATGAGTCCATCACATTTTCTAATACAGTTTGAGTCATGAATTAAACCAACAGAAATATTTATTATTGGATAGAAAACATGCTAACACCATGTTTACCAAATTGGACACCATCTGAGTTTGAATCCAGGGGATGTAAATTGTCAGGCTCAAATCAGGTGGCCAGTCTAAAAAGATTGGGAGTCCTAGACATTCAAGATTTCAAATAGCACGTTTTTCATTCCTAATGTGTCATGCTCTTAGTGAAATTGTATTAAAGGTCCAGTCCCTATGAGGCTTTTGCTGTCTTTTGTCTATTTCTGAGAGTGAATTTTGGAGCCTTCTCTATACCCTCTCCAGGAATTATATGGTAAAACCTGGAAAATTACCACCTGGACTTTAAAGAGGCTTTTGACTTTGGTATATGTAATGAATAGGTAAACATACATATACTTTTAAAGATGCCTGACAATGAGTCTCAAGAGTTGAGTCGCTACTGGAACTAAGTATACCATTGAAAATGTTTAAAGTGCTATTGGAATTAAGTGCACCATTATGGGGGGGAAGTTTTAGAAATCTCTAAATTCTAAACAAATGATAAAAAAGTTAAATTTAAAAATATATATACCATGGTGTAACAGTGTCATGACTAATCTTTAAAATGTTAACCTTTCTGGTTTGATAGTTGTGTTTCAAAACTATAACAGCTGTTTGTCCTAATGAAAATCTGGTAATAAGAGATATAAAAACATATATATATATATATTTTTTTCCCCCCTGAGTTGGAGTCTCACTTCATCGCCCAGGCTAGAGTGCAGTGGCATGCTCACGGCCACCCCCAGCATCGACCTGCTGGGCTCCAGCAATCCTTCCACCTCAGCCTTCCAAGTAGCCAGAATTATGGGTACGTGCTACCACACCCAGCTAATTTTTTATTTACTGTAGAGACAAGGTCTCGCCAAGTTGCCTGGGCTGGTTTTGTACCCGCGGGCTCAGGCAATCCACTTGCCTTGGCCTCCCAATGTGGTGGGATTACAGGCTGAGCCACCGAGCCTGGCCAAAAACTTATTTTTTTAGAACTCTATGGTTTAAAGTCAGCTTAGTTAAAAACGAATATCCAAGCTATATATTTTTGCAAGGCTTTTATACTTATTCTCTTTCGAATCCTACTTTTTGGAATTCAGTAGACTAAATTGTATCTGTTTTCCTATTTGTTTCTGTCCATCCCTCCCTCCTCTCACTACCCTCTATGACCACATGACCTAAAATAAAACAACCTAGAATTCTTTTTTTAAAAAAAGCCACTATAAACTTCTTTTTGTGGCAAATCTGTTTTTCCTTAATGAGCCTCAAGAGTTGTAAATGGATAGATTTTTTTCTGTTCTAAAAAATTTACTCTTCTGGCTCTTACAAATACTAGAAATCACTGTGCTCTGCATTAAAAATTTGATCTTGGTATGTGTAATGAGTAGGTAAATGTATACATATACTTTTAAAGATGACTGACAATTACTTACAATGAATGATTTGTTTCCTTGTGTGTTTAGATTTTTTAAATGTATAGTTTAGGCCTAAAATCTACATGCTTTCTAGACTCTTCCTTTCCTTAAAGGCCTTTACCCTAAAGCCAGTAATCTAAAAAGGCAAAATACAACTTTCTGGCATACAGCTGAACGTTTTTGTTAAAATAATTACATCTTTCTAAAAAATCTCCAGAGTGTCTAACTGTTTTTAATTTATAAGTCATACTGAGGCAGGATATCCAGTGTAGGTTAGACACAGATAGATAAATTCCTTGTAAGCAGTTTTAAGTTTTAAAACAGGAAAGTATTCAGACATCTTTCTTACAGGGCTAATCACCCTGCAGGTTGGAATGTAAATTTGCCAGTCTACCCCATCCCCTCAGCTCACCAAAGAAAAGCCCATCCAAGGTGTAGAAAATAATAATCAGATCACCTTTCAGGTCATGGATTAACTAATGTTTTCAAATTTTTCTTCAGATTTTCTGACTTAAAACCACTACTAATTAAAACTGTACTTTTCTCAGTGCCCTGCAAACCAGATCTAGACAACTAAACAACCTTGGGCCTGCCAACTGATGTATGGACTTCCCAAAAAGTTCACATGAATGCCTGGTTCAAACTACAATCCAAAAACAACTGTTAAATTGCCACTACACTCCAAAGATACATCAGAGACTCTAGAAACTAGTTTGTAGATTACTCCAAACATTATCTTTTGTTTTTCTTCTGTCACTATAGAAAAGCCTTTTATTAAAGATCTGTTTGTCAGCCAGGTACAGTGGTTTTACATCTGTAATCCCAGCACCTTGGGAGGCGAGGCAAGAGGATTGCCTGAGCCCAGGGGCTTGAGACCAGCCTGGGCAACTTGGTAAGACCTCATCTATACAATAAACAACTTCTTAAAAATGTGCTGGGCATGGCAGTACATGCCTGTAGTTCCAGCTACTTGGAAATCTGAGGCGGAAGAATCACTTGAACCCAGCAGGTTGAAGCTGCTGTGGCCATGAGCATGCCATTGCACTCCAGGCTGGCCACAGAGTGAAACTCTAACTCAAAAAAAAAACCAAAACAACAGATCTATTTAAATATGAAAAAAAAAAAGGCCAGCCCACCTACAATGCCACCTTCAAAAATAAAATACAACTGTTTAATAAGACTAACACAAATAAAATCCTTTACTATTCAACTTTTAACTCAATTTTTGTTTCACAGCTACCAACTTACCTTTTAATATGTGAAACTTGCAGAAAAGTTCCAGACAAGAGACTAAAGAGATGTAAAAAATTTACCCCAAAATATGACTTTTTGCTATGAAGTCTCCTTCCTGCCTATAGGTAATTAGATAAACTACTTCCCCTCTCTGTTATTATTTATTGCAAAATTTAAAAAAAAAAAAAGATAAGACCACACCTGAACAGACCTCCTTACAAGTATAAGGACTGTCTCTCAGGTTTCCTCAACTTCCAAAGATAACTATTTACAAGTCATTCTCTGTTTCCCCATCCATTCATTCTCCCAACCACATGTTACCCCTCAAAAGAATTCCTCTTCCTCCCCCTCCCATAATCTGTTTTACCAAAATACAAGCCCTCTTTCTTCCTGTAACCTCAAGATAATAAATATTTAAGTTTCTATAACTCATTAAAAAGTTGGGTCTTATTCTAAAGACTCTTGTGTATACACGTTAAATAAAATGTATATGCCATTTCTCCTACTAATCAATCTTACATCGTACTAATAATTTTTCAACAAACCTTTAGGGGGCCAATGGCTATGCCCCACAAAAGCTTTGTATGCAACTGTGACAGCTGAGACTTTGAGAGAGTGATAGGAAGTTACCAGATCCCTCTAGCAGAAGAGTGTCATGATCTGTTTCCAATCAGTGTTGAGAACAGACTACAAGAGGCAGAGTGGTAGCAGTGAAGGTGGTGAGAAATGGTCAAATTCTAATATAGTCTAAAGGTTGAGCTGATTGTGGGGTGGGGGGGGAACTGGATGGATGATACAGAGAATGAGGAGTCAAGATTTTGACCTGAGTAACTGGAAAGTGGGAGTTGAACTTTACTGAGATGTACGAGAAATAAGTCTGAGGGAAGATGAGGAAATTGGAGTTTTGGACTTTAGGTCTAAGTACCTAATGGACATTCAGGTGGAGATGTCAAGTAGGCAGCTGGATGTATTAGTGTGAATCACAAGGGGGAAAATATCTGAAATAGAGAGGTACAGCAGAAAAATGATATTTAAAGTCGTAAGACTGGATGCAATCCCCAAGGGAATAAGCAACTAGAGGAGAAAAGAGGCCCATGGACTGACGCCTAAGGCAAAAGTGTTCACAGGGAGGGTGGAGGAGGGACTAGCAACAGAGACTGAGAAAGAGCCAGTGATGTACAAGGAAACCAGGAAGGTTTCCTGAGGCTTAATTAAAACACCCAGGTTTGGCAACAGCTATTAACCACATTCAGATCTTCTTTTCTACCCCTTGCTCACCTCCAGGCTTATGGCTGTGTTTAGAGGATCAAGGGTGCCTTTCAACTGACTACTGAACAAGTCAGGTTTTAACCATACCTTGGATACCCAATATTCCTAGAGCTAATCATTTATTAATGGATACAATTTAACTTTATATTATAGCCTAACTCATGAAATATCCCCTGAAATAATTCCCTACATTATTTTAGTTTAGGAGGTTTCAAAATGGTTAAATTCTTGCCATTGAAAAATAACTTCTTTTGTTAAATTATTTTTCTCCCATGCTCTACGAGTCTTGGCCAAAAGTACATATATACAGTCACCCTATACTAATAATTTATTTGCTAAACTGTAACTTTAGTGTGAAGCATGATGTTGTGTGGATTTAGATGATGTTTTAGTTGGCAGTAGACCCTCTGTCTTTAATCTGCCTGGATTTAGCTGTATCTTTCAGAATTTCTTTGTAGATCAACTCTTGGCCGTTTCAACCATATAGAAGACAACCCTGGCCATAGGCAAAAAAGGCTTCGGAGTGACTCATAGTCCAAGCACCTCAGTCCACAAGGGAGATAAAAATGCCCCACAGCCATGGGACAAACAAGCATGTATAAAGCCAGACAGCAGACCAGAGATGAATATGATTAAGTGGGGAAATGCAGAAGGGCTCCCAGCACTCAGGATCCATTAAGGGTCAGGCAACCAGCCCCAGACAACTTGTAAGTTACTAAAGGGGTCACTGTTCTATGATCTACTACAATAGAACACATTTAAAATAAAGATCCTGATCAGTTGAAAGTTAACTTACATGTTATGTAATGCCTGAATGTTTCTACCAAAACTAGTAATTTAAGTTTTAGTTCTTAAATACATCATCTAAGAAATCCACTTAGCAGTTCCTAGATAAATTAGATGTTACTATATATGCAATTTTAGAGTGTTGCCAAGTTGAGGACATCCTTAATCTGCTTATATTATAACAAGCAGCCATTATAACAGTTTATATGCAAAAAACTTTTGAAGCATTTAGAAATCATAGGTTAAGTAACCTCTCTGAAAATTCCACTGATTTTATAATTTAACAAACTCATAGTTGCCAGGTTTATTCAACTAACAACAAAATATGAACAAATTCCAAATTGCAGAAGGCTAAGTAAATTTTTATTACATGTCTCCTTATGAAATAAAGATGGAGGTAGGCCGGGCACAGTGGCTCAGGCCTGTAATCCCAGCACTTTGGGAGGCTGTAGTGGGAGAATGGCTTAAGGCCTGGAGTTTGAGACCAGTTTGGGAAACATAGCAAGATCTCCTCTCTACAAAAAAATTGAAGAAATTAGCCAGGTGTGGTGGCACATGCCTGTAGTCCCAGCTACTCAGAAAGATCACATCAGTCTAGTTCAAAGTTGCAATGAGCTATGATCGCGCCACAGCACTCTAGCCTAGGCGACAGAGCAAGAGACACCATCTCAATAAATAAAATAAAGTTGAAGCTAGATTTACAAGGGTAAGAGGGAACAAAGAAGGGAATGTAAGGGGAGAACAAAGAAGCGGCTTCGACCTTGGAGCAGGCTTCACAGACTTCACTCCCTTCCTGAAAACTATTTTGAAAACGTTGCGAAATTAATAACCACTGCACCTGCATAACTGGCTACATCTACTTCTATAAAATTGCTTGCTTTCCCAAGCTAGCAGAATAATGTGATAAGAGCCCCGGAACATCCCAAGTTCTATCCTTAGCCCACTAGAATGTAAGTCTAAACTACTTAAGGCAGCCCTGTGTTGCAGCAGGCCGCCCTTGCTTTGGAATTCATTATCCAGCAAGTGGCCACCGGCCATGGCCGAATCTGCCTAATAAACCTCTCCTTTGTTACTTATAACTTTGTGTTGGCATCTGTGATTTAAGCTCTCGGACCCTACTTCAACAGGAATAATTCTTGAAGGCTAAATAACACAATAATTCATAAAGACAGGTTTTTTGATCCTCTTCTCATCTTTCCCATCTCAGTAAAGAGCACAACTACCTACCCAATTACTCAAGCAAAAAATCTAGGAGGTTCAACCTTGATTCCTTTCTTTACAAAGTTTTAATAAAATACTATTCATTCATTTAAGTTACCAGAACATGTACACACACACACACACACACACACACACACACAATATATGGAATAAGAAATTGCCACCAAGTATAGTGATATGTCACTGGAAAAGTCTCAAACTTTCACCTTCCCCAAAAACACACACACAAACACACTCACACATATTTATATACTCATTCATCCTCCCCACCACCCATGGTTATCCATCTATTCATACTGTTCCCTATCCTAAGATAGGCTAAGAATTGCTACATCATGGCTCCAGGTTACTGCTTCATGGGATAGGAATTTTGATAGGGTGCTGGGGGAATGGGCAGGCATTGCCTTAAGTAATTTTAGAACAAGTTGTTCTACTGAGAGATGGCAAGCCAGAAATGAGATGAGGGGATGCTTAAAACAGCAAGAAGACACTGAGTTTCTGCATAGAGACCCTGGGATGTAGAAGATGCCACAGGAAGCAAAGAAGCCAATTTCTAACCATCCATTTCTAAATTTTGCTTAGGACAGGCTTTGGATACAGAAAAGAAGAGAAAGTTTATGCTATCCTCTGCTTGATCCCAGAACCCTGGCTAGTAGCAGAGTTCTAGGGTCCAGCTCACTTAAGACAAAAAAAAATCAGCTTTTCTGTTTTAGTCTAGGAATGAAATCACACTTATCCCAATGCCTGGCACACAGCAGACACCGAACCAATGTTTATTAGATGAATAATATACTTCTAGAAAGTTTCACGCTGTCTCACCTTCTCCCATTGTCCTCCATGCCATCCATTTTCCTGCTGCACTGACCCTTCACTCTTCCCCATGCTTGCTGCCTCTGAGCTTATACTCTGCCTTCTCCTCCCAGGAAATGACTTTCCCCCTTGTGTTCTCACTTTGTGTTCTCAAAATGTCACTTTGAAATGTCCCTGACCCCTCCCATCAGTGACTGTCCCTGACTCTGAGATTACCTCATCTGTCCCACCGTACAATATTTCCCCATTCCAGTATCCTGTATCACATCCATGTCTTCCATCTTCCACTGGAACTAGAGCCTCCTACCTCAAACAATTATAATACTATAAGAAAGTATTTGGCAGTAATGGGATACTGTCAGGGAAGGGGGGGTGGGATTGGCAGTTGAGGGAAACTGCTAGGGGAGGGAGAGGAATACCTCATCAACAAGGGTACCTACGTAATCAATATTTGTACACCTAACCCTGAATTGTACCCCACATCTTCATAATAAAAAAGAAAAAAAAACCAACTAGAGCCTCCTTAAGGGGTAAGATACAATGGGTCAATCTTCTATTCCCTAGACTACATGTAACACAGATTTTAATTATATAAATACATGCTTCATTAACTACAGAAATAAGCCCAAAAAGCAACACACAAGGAAGTTTTTTCCCCCACTGTACATAAATATTGTTTTACTAATTAGTATGATTTACTACCCTAATTCACGTGATAACTATGACTATGCAGGGTCTGATTCTAGAGTGTGGTCTCTAAAAACACTGCTAAGGGTGCCTAAATCTGATCACTGGTCAAACACATAATGAAAGTTATTATTACCACAGTCAAACTCACCTCATTTGCTAAGGCAAAAGTTCCCCAGTGAATTGCCATAGATTTTTTTGTTTGGACATCAATGTGAATCCTTACAGCTTCTTCTGGGTCTACATGCTGGTATTTCATAAACCACCTGATGAAACACAGCAATTTATTAAATTCTGGCCTTCGGAATTTACAATAAATTCTAATTACAGTTTCACTTAAACAACCTTTAAGATTCTGCATAGGGCTATGGATGCCTGAGAAATAAAAAGCTTGGTGCAATTATTTGCACTCCCCCTCCCTGCTCTCCATTTGATTTGGAATCACTAAACCTAAGTAAGAATTAAGCTGATTTACCAACAGAAAGAACAACATGTAATAGGGTATACTCTCAACCACTCTTCAGCCACTGAACACACAATGGTCTTATCATACACACTGGATTCATTTAGAGAACTTTTAATAAATATTGCTGCCCAGCCTGCATTCTCAGTAGTTCTGATGTAATTTTTCTGAGATAGGACCTGGGCTTTGGCATTTTAAAAAACCCCCATGTGAGTCCAATGTGCAGCCAAAGTTGAGAACCACTGGGATAGAACATAAACAATGTTGGGAAGGATGAGCTAGAAACCAAGTTTGGAGTCCAGGCAAGGCTAGACTGTCCAAACAAAACAAAACAAAGCAGATTCTGCACAGAAATAAATCAAGTAGGCAAAACCATCTCCTTTTAGTTCACTCTTCTGCTAAAAAAAATAAAACAAGCAAAAATATTTCTTGCACAAACTTCTAAACAATGTCTCAGGCAAAACTCCCCTCTGAGCAGCAAAAATCTGTTGCAGGTATATTTTGATTTTACTGACGATTTAACTACAGCTATGACTATTACTTTGAAAAGTGGATAGTTTATAGTCCTAGATATGAATCAAAGAAACTGAATAATGGGTAAAGAAATGAAAACAAAAACTTCAATTGCAAAAGAACCTGAATGTCCTGCTGATACAATTTTTAAAAAAACTTACAAAAGCAAACAAAAATTAGTATATAAAATGTAAAGATCAGTAGCAAAAAAAATAAATCCAACTACTATTCAAGGAATTTTATTTAAACTTCATAACAATGAACAATGAGGTGTTTGGTGTGGCAAAAAGAAAGGACTAAAGGGTGAACGATTAGAGATATTGCAGAAACACTGAAAGGTTGCCTGATGCCTTAGAAAGAACAAAGGCTCAGTAGGCTTAGGTGTGAATTCCAGCTTGCAGTTCCTGGAATGCCACTGGAAAGCCCCTTAAAATTATCTGAGCTTCTATTTCCCTGTCTGTGCAGTGTCAATGTAGATCCATCACATAAGGGTGCAATGAAGATTAAATAAGCCAAAGTTTATGAAACATGGAACACAGCACCTACTTCGTAGAATTCTCCCAAAAAAGTAAAGAGTTGACAAAACCAACACTTTCAGAAGAAAGAATTATTATTTCTGATACAAAGGAAAAGTGTACTGTTTACAAGCAAATCCTTTGCCTTCCAGGCTATCATTTTAGAGGAAGAAAAACAACAGTCTTCACATTATTTACATCCTGGTCTGCCAGCCAACTAATGTTATAACATTACAGTTAAGACCAACAGATATGGATTCGGCATAGGAACTTCCACACTTTATAGAACACACCATGCAGAGTTCATCTGCAATAGCTAAAGAGTTGTTACTTAGTGTTAGGAATTGTTGGGTCCTGTGGGAGCCTAAAAACAAAGCCACTGTGCTCTCCTCAACAGCGGATTAGAGAAGCACTGTTCTGCCGTATCTCCTGGCAATTGGGATTCAGGACAAGATGAAAACAGTTTTTGGTATTTCTGTTACTTTTTTAAAAAGATCCTACTGCAAATCAAAGAACAGATGCATTCCTTCTATTCTCATGTCTTTCAGAAATAAATGTAGGCCAGGCTTGGTGGCTCAGCCTTTAATCCCAGCACTTTGGGAGGCCGAGGCGAGTGGATTGCCTGAGCCTATGGGTTCGAGACCAGTCTGGGCAACTTGGCGAAACTGCGTCTCTACGATAAAATAAAAATAGCCAGGCGTAGTAGTGCGCATCTGTAGTTCCGGCTACTCGGAAGGCTGAGGTGAAAGGACCGCTGGAGCCCAGAAGGTCAATGCTGGAGTGGCCATGAGCGTGCATGCCACTGCACTCCAACATGGGCAAAGGAGTGAGGCTCCAACTCAAAAAAAAAAGAGTAAAATATGTATTGTGATATGACAATTAAAATAAAACAAAATCCTAACTGACTTGGATAGAACACCTGGTGACAGGAAACCCCTAAGTAAAAATGAAACATTACAACCATATTATTGAAAGTTGTTTTTGGTATGAGCATCTTGCATTTACAGAACACTCTAAACCTTTGTGAAATAGACAATCTTATTTCTAAAGCTGTTAGTACTGATCAGAGAAATAGATTACACAGTGGAGGCTATCAGAATTTAACTCTCTTAGGACAAATAACAGTCTCCTTGTTCTTTTCCCATCTTAAAAATAGCATGGCTACAAAGCAGGCAGGAAGGGGGAATTACAAGTAAATACGAAGGAGGACCCCCCTACACCACAAAACACTATAATTATCTTTTGGAGGACGGGCCTCTTGTAATATACTCAGAAGTTGTTCCTCTGGATCAAATGGTCAACCAAAGTTTTTATCTGAAAGTTTTGAGAAGATTGCATCATGATTGGCAGTGAAACATCCTGAGTTGTGGCACACAGGTGACTGGTTCTTCAACCATGACAAGATACCTGCCCACACCCCACTGAGTGTTCAGCAGTTTTTGACCAAAAATGGCATGAGCACCTTGCCCCACCTTCCCTAGTCACACGATCTCACTCCAGGCAACTTTTTTTGTTTCCTCAAGAAAAACCTCCTCAAAGGGAAACATTTTGCCTATGTGGAAGAGGTGAAACAAAAAAACAGCAGAAGGACTAAAAGGCATCATAATTGATGAGTTCAAAAACTGTTTTGAGCAGTGGAAAAAGCATCTCAACAGATGTATTGCATCAAACAGAGAGTACTTTGAAAGTGACTGAAGTTTAAACACGTAAGATACAACATACAATTTTCTATAAATAGATTTGGGGTTTTTTTTAGGTCCCTTCATATGTAAAGTTTGGTTGTATACATTTTAACATCACAAATATATATGACAAATTTATATATTAATGCATATGAAAACCTATTTTGATAATTACAAATAGGAGTCTAATTATATTAAAAACATATTGAGTAAAGACTAATACCATATGAAATTAATTTGTAACAGTTCTAGAAAATATACAGGTTTACTGATGTTTTGAGAGGTTTCATTAGAATTATTTAATGGGGAAAGTGGAATTCAAGAACAAATATTAATTTATAATAATTTTAATAATTATTAGGAACCAACAAAAAGGTAAAAATATCTAGACCCTAAAAGTAAGGAAACTAGCAAAAAACATAAAAGGGAGAAATAAGCATTAATAAAGATAGGAGCAGGTGCAGTGCCTCATGCCTATAATCCCGGTAACTCAGAAGGCTGAGGCAAGAAGATTACTTGAGGCCAGGAGTTCAAGACCAGTATGAGCAACATAGCAAGACCCTAACTCTTAAAATAAATAAATAAAAAATTAGCCGGACTTGGTGGTGCATACCCGTAGTCCCAGCTACTCAGAAGACGCGGTTTCGCCAAGTTGCCCAGACTGGTCTCGAACCCGCAGGCTCAGGCAATCCACTCGCCTTGGCCTCCCAAAGTGCTGGGATTACAGGCTGAGCCACCGAGCCTGGCATACGTTTATTTCTGAAAGACATGAGAATAGAACGGAATGTATCTGTCTCTTTGATTTGCAGTAGGATCTTTTTTAAAAAGCAACAGAGAGAAATACCAAAAACTGTTTCAAGGTGGGAGGATTGCTTGAGCCCAGGAGTTAGAGGCTGCAGTGAGCTATGATCGCACTACTGTACTCCAGCTCCTAGAGTGTAAGACCCAACTCTAAAAAAAATAAAAATAGGGGAAAATATGGTTTTAGTGAATTTAAAAAGTTAACAAGTAAATATAACAAAATGAGACAGAAAGAAAAGATCAGATTCATTCAATTCATCTATATATTAAAGAAATACTTGGTTTTCTGCTTGTAGGATTACCTAAATAAAATACATTTTTATGTACCTGTGCATGCACTATAGAATAAACTAAAACATTAAAAAAATTATCCCTTACTTTGTTACTGTCAGTGTTTACTTTCTCTTTACTTGTACATATAAACCAGAGTTGACTGAACTATAACTGGATTCTTTGAAATCACTTCTCTTTGCCTAAACAGCATTAAGGAAAACAAAGACAGTGGATGAGTCTCCTAGGACTCTAACGATAATGGGACCTTTAGCAGCTTTGAAGACAGGTGATGAGTATGTAGAGATCAGAGAATGAGCAGTGAGTAACACAACAATGTCATGATGGGATTAACTTCAGTGCTGACTGAAATAAGATCATCACGAGACTAAAGCTATAGGCCAAGTCTTTGCTTTTTCTCTCTGCTATAGGAGAGCTATGGGACAGGGAACTGGTGCATTCCAGTCATGGAAAGAAAAGAGGTTATATAAAGAAAGTATTCTCCACGTGAAAGAACAAGAATTAGGTTTGATTACTGGTTGATCAATCTAATAGTAGTTGGAATGATACATGAACTTCTCACTAGTGGAGTAACTCTTTAAGCCTTATTCCCCTTTTGTTCTTGATATTATCATTTCTGATTTTGAGTAATTATTTAACTGATTTGACTATGATTAAAATATTCTAATTCTCCCCACAAAAAATAAGTATGTGAGATAATGTGTATGTTAAATAGTTTGATTTGGCCACCCCCCAATATATACATGTATCAAAGAATCTTGTTGCCTACCATAAACATATACAATTTTTACATGTCAATTTAGAATTTCTAATTTAAAATATTTTAAAATTTAAAAAAGCTAGCCGGGCATGGTGGCTCACACCTGTAATCCCAGCACTTTGGGAGGCTAAGGTGAGAGGAATGCCTAAGCCCAGGTGTTCAAGATTAGCCTGAGGAACTTGTAAAGCTTGTCCCTAAAATAAGTTTAAAAAATGAGCCAAATGTGGTGGCACACACCTGTAGTTCCAGCTACTTGGAAGGCTAAGGTAGAAGGGTCATCTGAGCCCAGCGGTTCGAGGCTGCAGTGACCAGGAGCATGCCACTGCACTCCAACCTGGGTTACAGAGTGAGACTCCAACTCAAAAAATAAAAAATAAAAATCCATCTCACCATGTACTACAAAGTCCATCATTAAAATCACAAATTACACAGTATCAGAAAATCATAACAACTTTAAAATTCAGTTAACTTATCATATAGCAGGAATGTTTTCTTTGGAAGGCCACATACCTTGGCTCGTAAGCTCCAATGGGAATAGCTGCGAGGTCAAAAGGTCCAAATCTTTTTCCTATCTCTTCAAAAGCGGGGCAATAACCAGTATCTCCTGCAAAGAAAAATCGATTCCAAGGCCCCAAGACAGACCAGCTGCCCCACAGAACCTTGTTGTCATCCATTAGAGTCCTTTTACACCAGTGCTGGGAAGGCGTAAAGACAAAGGTGACTTTATCATGTCCAGGAACACAGTTCTCCTCCCACCAGTCCAGCTCAATCACATTCTCACAGCCACATTTTTGCATCCAGTCGAGAAGACCCAAAGGCACAAACCATCTCAGCTCGTTACCAAACCGCTCATTCAAAGCAATGACAGAACTGTAGTCCAGATGGTCATAGTGATTGTGACTGATAAGAACTGCATCTATTGGGGGGAGTTCACTTATTGTGCATGGGGGACGACGAAATCGCTTTGGACCCATGTACTGCGATGGTGAAGCACGAGAGCTAAAGATGGGATCTGTAAGAAATATGAGCTCATCCATTTCCACCATTACTGTTGCATGTCCTAGCCACGTGACTCTTATGCCAGCTTCCCTCACTCTAGCTTCCTCAGGTTCAGCAATGAAATATGGCTTAAGCACTGGGAGTTCTTTGTCAAGTTCCTGTGGGTATAAAGAAAGACAGACAAAGCAGCGGTTAGAGAAAAAAAAAGGTGTTATATCATCGCAGAACATATTTTGACCTAAATTATAGCAAGAAGGGCTATTTTGGGAGAAATGAAGTCACTCAATAAATTTGCTATTTTTGCTTTTTTCTTGAAAATGTTCACTTAACTCCTTTCTGAATCCGATTTCATATTCATGATAATATAGTAATCATCTTTGTCCCAAATGCAATAGGCAAAGGCAAAATTAAATTTAAAACTCTAAGTACTGCTAGATTTATTAATTCTTTTAAAGGCTCTCTTCAGTAGGGCCAGAAGTAGACTAGCCTAGATGCAGTCATTTTTTTTTTTTTTTTGCCATTCCACATGGCTGATGTATTTGCTGCTGAAAACTGCCTCAAAAGCAGGTCAGTCCCTGGAAATAGCAAAGAAAGCTTATGACCATTTATTTCTAGCTCTTGGATCCCCTATGAATCTGAATTTCTGAGTACATATAACTCAAAGCAGAGCACTGTGATGACTCCCAGACAAACCACTGCCATAAAAGGTTCTCCTCATTGCTTACCTTTCGGATTTTCTGCCACTGATCAAACCAAAGTGAAATATGATCCCTGTCTGTGAGAAGTTGACCTCTGAGGTGGGGGTAGGTGGTAAATAAATGTAAAATTACTTTAACGAAGTGTGAAAAGTATTATTCCTTGAATATGCTACATTTCATACTTGGATTCAGTCAGCCCAATAAAAAGGCTGTGTTTTGGGGTCACAGTCCTGGCTTTTATAAAAGCTGCTTTTATTAAACTGTGCTCGGGTGCATCATGCTACATAGCTGCATCAAGGTCTCTCACCAGGAAGCCACCAATGAAACCTGCCATGCATGTCTTCAGACTAAGACCTGGTACTCCCTCTACCTTCCCACTTAACCCAGAAGCAATTTCTCTCAAATCTCAGTAATAGAAAAGCTCTTCTCCAGAGCAACTGACTTTATCATTTGACCGTCACTGGAAAAATTCTACCTTTATGCTTCTCTCTTTGCTGTAACTAGGAAGTTCAAAGTAAAAGCCAAGGCCACCTGCAGCAATGGCCAGGACATGATGGAACATATTTCTGTGCTAACTTTACCCTTGGCTTTATTTTATTTTATTGTTCAACCCTAATGGTCCTTTTTCTATGTTCATCCATTTGTTTTTTGCTGCTACATGTATTTTTGTAATTTGCCACAGATCAATTTTGAGAAGGGTGTAGTATTGGATAAGTAATTAAATAAAATGCAGGACATGCTATAGCCAGGTAGGAAGGAATGAACGGTCCACCCACCAAAGGTATCACTGACACAGTGACTTGTATGAGTTCCTGAAGAATGATGAGAAATTCACAATGCAGAGAAATAGAAGGACATTTCAGGTGGAGAAACTACTCAAGCTAAGGCAGAACCAAACAAGAACATGGTGTCTGAGGGCAGCAGACAAACTAAGTCTATAAAGATCAAGGCACAATAGAAGCCTTGAGTGCCATGCTCCACTCAGAGACAATGAGAAAGCATCTTTTAGCATCCACATGTACACACACAAACACACACACAAAGACATGATCCAATGTATGTTTAGACCAAAAAATTCTAGAGTCCCTCTAAGTCTGGAGGGTGTCACAACAGTTGCCCTGTCGTAAAGAGGTGAGGACCTGAACAAAGGAGCCAGTAGTGGGCAGAGACAAGAGAAGGCAGATAGGGGAGAAGGTGGTGAAAAAAAACTGAGAGGTCATTGGGAGAACCTGAATGGGAAGACGACATGCATGGGAAGAGAAGGAGCAGCACAAGTAGGAGACAAAAAGGTTTTTCTTAGTCACTCTAAGTTTCAGTTTTCTCATATGGAAAATGGGTTTAGTAATTGTACCTACACTTGATTGCTATGAATAATGAATTAGGAATGGCTGGCACACAATAAGCACTCTACAAGTATTCCAAATGAAGAAAAAAGCAACCCTGACAGCCAATCGGGCACCAATGCTATTGATCTCTTACATTTTCACATAGCCATTAACCTAGTTATGATCCTAAGTAACATCCAGATCCTCAGAGCTTTCCCAATCACTCAACTGTCTGCATGTCGACTCAATCCATACACAAAAAGGTCACTTCAAAAACAGCCTACTAAGGTATAATTCTCTCCCCTGTTGCAAAATCTGCACTGGCCCTCCTCTGCCTGACAAAGTCTGCCTCACCTCCTTAGCCCAGCAGTAAGCTGCCATGAACTGAAAAAATTATCCTCTCCAGCTGCGTTTCACAACAATCCTCTACAGGTCTCTGTGTCCCACCTACACAGGGACTATTTCCCACTCCTGGCCTTAGCTTGCACGTACTGATCCCATTTCTCAGGTTAAACTGTCTTCCCCCTCCCATCCCTCTGAAACCATAATCAAACTACACACCCTTCGTGGAGACTTCTCTGAGTCTCCACAGCTAGAAGCACTCACCCCTGCCTCTCAACTTCCATCCTCTCTGTTCACACATCTCCTCTGGATATTAAGGCTGTATGTATACAGGATTTATCCCATGTCTTTTGCAACTTGGAATCATTCACAGTACCCGGTTCGGTGTTCAATAAAATTTGCTTAATGAATGAATGCCCATTTTTCAACTGCTTCTCAAATTTGGGGTAATTAGAGTTAGTGAATAATAACAAATGCCATATGACGTACTTACAAGAATAAGGAGAAAAGGGAGATGGAATGATTATAAAATGAAGTACCTACTAAGCACCTGGCATCATACTAGGTGCATAAGAAGAAGCACAGTGATGATAAATTATCTAATATAGCAAGAACTTTAGCATAGCACAACATAAAATAATACTACCAATAGTGCTTACTATGTGCTAGACATGGTACTAACTGCTACTGACTATAACACCAGAGGTAGGGCCTAATAACTATCTCCATTGTAAGATTAAAAAACTAAGAAGTGGCCAGGTGCGGTGGCTCAAGCCCATAGTCCCAACACTTTGGGAGGCCAAGAAGAGAGGATTGTCTGAACTCAGGGTTTCAAGACCAGCCTGGGCAACTTGGTGAGACCTCGTCTCTACAATAAATCAAAAAATAAGCTGGGCATAGTAGCACACACCTATAGTTCCAGCTACTAGAAAGGCTGAGGCAGAAGGATCTCCTGAGCCCAGCAGGTTGAGGCTGCGGTGGTGACAAGTGTGCCACTGCACTCCAGCCTGGGCAACAGAGTGAGACGCTGACTCAAAAAACAGAAAACTAAGAATTAAAGAAGTTATGGCACTCACACAAGGTCACCCAGCTAGCTTCTATGTTTACTGCCTTCCATCATAATACATACTCTCTTTAAATTTCATTTAATGCACGTATTTTTTAAAGTTACAGCCTGGGGACCGGTGGGGAGAATAAAGGGAGATGGATAACAAAAGGACACAAGGAAGTTTTGGGGGATGATGATATATGCTCATTAACTGGACTGTGGGTGATCTTTTCATGGGTCTATACATCTGTCAAAAGTCATCAAATTGTACATCTTAACTACGTGGAGTTTGTATTATCTTAATAAAACTGTTTTTAAAAATTTAAGTAGCATTGTGTTTAAACAGTACATCAAATATCTGTAACAGGCCAGGCACAGTGGCTCACACTTATAATCTCAGCACTTTGGGAGGCTGAGGCGGGAGGACTACTTGAGCCCAGGAGCTCAAGATCTGACTAGGCCACATAGTGAGACCTTGTCTCCACAAAAAAAATTTAAAAATTAGCTGGGTGTGGTGGCACGCAGCTGTAGTCGATTGCCTGAGCCCTGCGGTGAGCCGAGATTGTGCTAATGTACTCGAACCTGGGTGACAGAGTGAGACCTCGACTTAAAAAAAAAAAGCCTGTAACAAAATTTCCTGAAAACTGTTGCATTTTCTTTTTTACTCTAAGTTTAGAAGTCATCTGAAGTTTAATGTTTGCCTTTACCTGACGACAATTAGAAGGAAACAAAATCCTCGGTGGCTCAGCCTGTAATCCCGCGGCTTTGGGAGGCTGAGGTGAGTGGATTGCCTGAGCCCGCAGGTTCGAGACCCGCCTGGGCAGTGA